TTACATCCTTTATTTTGTAAGATGTTTTTGACACTTCTTATTCCCCTTCCCGGAATTAATATCAGTAGTCATGGTAGTAGACCGACTAAAATGCATCTCTGAAGAAAAAAAACACACTAATTTATAATTTTAACTACAGTAAATATGAATATCAAACATTGAATATAAAAGATGAAATTGGCAAATATATAAGAAGGTCATGAAGATAGCTGAACAAGATGTGATGTAATAATAAGAGTAAAATATCTTTAAAATAAAAATATAATATATTAAAATAAATGTCTTATTTAATTAAATAAAAATTAGATTTAATTTTAATTTAATTCGATAGGAGGGCCAAAAAAGGTACAAGCTACTAATTACACCACCATTAAATATATGTAATAAAAAACAGTTGATTTGGTAACATTTATTGATGTAAATACCTGGAAAAAATAATGAAACTACAGGAAATGTCGAAACCCCGGATGATACGATTCTTTAATCGATTTTTAAAAAATTTTACCCCGGTTCACGGTGGAATTTACTTCCTGGATTTCCGTTGTTTCGATAACTTAAAACCGAAAAGCTTCAAACTAGTGTCTACACTCTTTGAATAAAAAAAATTCAGCCTATCAACTAGTTAACGCAATATACACCATCTACTCAAATATTGCTGGAATTAACTGCTTCATACTTTTCTTGTTTATATTGATCAAACCTCATATTGTCCGCATCTCTAGACGGTTTATAGAATACCCACTTAAACTGTTGCAAGCATGTCATGGGAAAAATATTGTAAAACCTGATCTAGAACTAGATCAAAATAAATGGAACTTAACGGCATGGAAAAGTGACAACCTAGGGTAACAGGAAGCCGCGCCATAGAACGCTGGGAGTGGCCAACGTGTGTTCTACCATGACCTAGGCGGGGCTTTAACTATTGTTATGGAAAGTGACCACCTTGTAGCCTATGGTAATACAGTAAATATCAACCGTATTATTCTTTATATTTGTCAATCAATTATCAATAAGATACAACAATCCTCACAAAACATCAAGACCCTATACAGGCCTCACTAACTCTACAACATCATTTGCTTAAACTACAAGATTGGTTCACACTATGGAAAATTCGACTTAATCATGACAAATCCAAACATATAACATTTACTCTTCGAAAAAACACCTGCCCTCCAGTTTATATTGACAACAATCAAATTCCTCAAACGGACACGGTACTTTACCTTGGACTCACCTTCGACAGAAGGATGACATGGGGCCCACATGTTAAAATGAAACGTATGACACTTAACAAACGACTCAAACTACTTTACTCTCTTTTTGCCAAATCTTCAAAACTAAAACTAAAACAGAAACTGAATACATATACATACTTACTTAAGCCCATATGGACATACTCATCACAAATATACGGCATCGCTAAAAAGACACACCTACAAAAACTTCAAACGTTCCAATCAAAATTATTGCGACTCATAACAAAAGCACCTTGGTACGTGACTAACAAAACTCTACATACTGACCTCCACTTTCCAACAGTTGACCAACATATAACGACCATATATCAACGATTTTACACAAATTTAAATGGACATAATAACAGACTTATAAGAGACATGGCCACAGCTGACATACCTCAGAACATGAGCAGGAGACTAAAAAGGCGTTGGATGAGGGATCTGCTTCCTTAGACAACCTAAGTAATTGGAACAAGTTAGGGAAGAGGTACTGCTGAGTACTTTCCTTCCCCATGCCTGTCATGTCATTATATCATTATCGCCATCACATTTGCTGATCGTCAACTTATTGTTGACAGGCGCAAATACATATTTTATAGAGAAAAAAAATTATCAATTTTGAGCAACAATGATAACAGTAATTAATACGTTATACCATGGAAAGCAAAAATTTCGTGATATTTTGATATCTCTAAATTTATAAAATAAAATATATTACTCATCAATTGTATTATCCTTTTAATCCAATTATTTTTCTTTGGATTTTAATGTTTATAAAGAGTTATAATACTGATAGTTCAAAATTCTCTCCCTCTACATATATATGCACTAACTTAAACCAGTAAATGAAAAAAAAAACTGAGATATTGGGAGGCAACTTTAATTTTTTAGTACTTTTCCGAATTCCTTGTACCAGACTGAGACATTGTTTAGATTCTCAATATTAATGTTGACAAAAATAATATAGTTTATAAATTAAAGTTACTACCGGTGCAGGGTTTGAGTCCAGTCCTGGCACCGAATCGACCCTAGAGTCGTGAGATCCTCCTAAAGCGTAACTAGCCATTGCAATGTGGGCACTTTAAAATAACTAAGGAGAAAAACTGGTTTAGCACACATCACATTGTGCAAATAGTGAACTAGAAACAGAGTATCATTACTAAGTACTGAACCCTTCAAGGGCTGTAATGGTTCTGTTTTTTATTTTTTTTTTATGTATAAAAATAAACAAAATCATATATACAGAATCATTGAAAAGGTTAATTAAGTATCCGAAGATTGGACATGACCTGGAGCCTTAAAGTGTTAAAAAAACGATTATATAGTTTATCTCTTCACGATAACATATTTTTTTCTTAAATATTTTCTCATCAACCAAAAATTGTATTACCTAAGAACGATTATGATAAATGCTCTGAGCATTGGTTGCTTTGTGTGCACATGCTTCATTGACTTCCATTGTGAATGCAGTACACGTTATGGCTGACCGTTGCCTTCCCAAAACAGAATCAAGCGCTCACGAATTTTTAACGTTTATAAACCATCTTTATACTCTTTTCCACCACACTGGCCGAATGAGTTGTTGAATAAAGATGAGCTCTTCGGACGTGAATTGGATTTCACGGGCCGAAAGTTGCGTAGTGGAACGGTTTTCGATTGATCTGGTGTGTATTCGACTGGAAAGGTTGGGGTAGGAGGTGGGGGACAAAGTAGTACAGATTTTTTTATGTCTAATGTATATATATTTTTTTTAGTCTATTTTTTATGTCTAACGGTCATAAACGTTCATTAGAGGTATCATAAAACGAGAAGAAAAATACTACATTACTGAGAACATACCAAACTTATGAGGAAAATTACACAGTAGATTACAAAACATATTGACGCCTTACTTCTAAAACCTACTAAAGATTCACTAAATTAACTATTTTCTAAGTAAATAATGCATTCATTTACATTAATAATATATTGGTATCACATTTTTAAAAATCCCAGGACTTTCCCAATATAAAAAATATAAATGTTTACTTATCTGTAATATAAATATAATTTTGAAGAAAAGGATGGTTGTGGTGATCAGTAAAAATAAAAAGTACTAAAAATAAATAATTAAATTTATTTTTATATTTGCTGACTTTTCGGCCCGAAGTTCAGGCCTTCATCAGGGTTCATGAAAAGAACCAAATAACAATAGGTATGAGAATAAACTGATATCGTTTCTCATACCTATTGTTATCTGGTTCTTTTCTTAGCCCTGATGAAGGCCTGAACTTCGGGCAAATATAAAAATAAATATAATTACTTATTTTTACTATTTTATTTTTGACTAATAGCCCCAACCATCCTTTTCTTCAATTATTCAATACAGTCACCCATCAACCCACAATTAGAAATATAATTTTATATTTTTTTAACTAAAATTTGTTTTTAGTGATTTACAAGGCTTTTGAGGTATGATCAATGGGCTGATACTTCTATCCACTTCGGGACAAAACGTATATTTAGGAGTGCAAAATTTAAAAAAAATATATTAAATTTTGCTCTCGGTACTATGAATAGTCAATTTCAAATCTCAATATTTACCAACGAAACCAGGATCTATACAGAGGGCTGCAGAATGAGAGAGCAGTTCTGCAGTCGATTAACAGTAAGTTGATGAGGAGTACGAGTGTTAAAAAAAAAACAACAAAAAAAACATTGTAGGCATTCTGAGATATACTGTTCACTATTTGGAGAAACAATAGAAATATTGAAGGAAAAAACTCAACCATATTCGATTATGTACTTTTTAGAATTGTAGCCCGCAATTGCAACAAATAATACATAACAAAAAAAAAATAAAATAAAAGTAGAGAAAATCAAATTTCAATAAAAAAATATTAGAAATGGATTAGATATTTCCAAAGCTTAAAAATATTTTATGAACACTAAAGAATAATCTTATCCAACTTAAATCTGATATAGCGATTATTGGTCGCTAGACTGTGCTTTCAATAGACGGTTTTTTTTTAATTCTGAAATATTTTACTAGTCAATATTCTGTTAATCTAGGTGTTTTTTTACCGATATTCCGTAGATTCTGTAAAGTTATTTATAAAACTATATCCCCGTTTTTCCTTTCATCTGGGTACATTGAATTTTAATTTATGGAGAATATTTTATCATACCGGTTACTTTACCATTAGGTATTTTATAGAAGAGCTTAAGGAAAAGAAAGGAAGAAAGACTTAAGAAGATTATGTAATTTTTCAATTAGTCATTATTTGTTTAGTCTTTCTTAAGACTATTAATGTGAACTGTGCTCTGATGGTGCTTGAATAAGCAATTCGTTGACGGATTAGCTATTTATCTTCATTTGAGATACGTAAGTTGTTGTTTTTGGAACCTTGCACAGTTATAAATACATAAACATACATATGGAAAACATAAACATACATTTTTTTTTTACACCAAAGAATTTGAAAATTGAAAGGCTAATTCAGTAACTTCTGAAATATAAAAAGGAAAGTTTTGGCGGTTATTATATGAATTAGGATACAGAATAAGGTTTTGGGGGCGACACCAATATAGATACTTCGAAGAATTACTTTTGAATAAATTAATAAGATGTCCTTTACATGTCTGTTATTAAGACATTGACTTTCGTAACTTTAACGATTCTCAGAGGCATTACACTTCAGTAGCAGTTCCATATAAGTCGTTACTGGTCATGACAGCCAATTGACGGTCAATTACCAAGACTAAAATGATCATAATCAATTATGCAGTTAATAAATAACCGTTTATGAGAACTTCATGATAGACACCTGGTGCTCCACTAGCAACCTCAGGGTCTTGGAGGTCGGCGAAATGCAAGAGACCTTGGCCAGAGACGAGCTACCAGAAGGTCTTGCACAAATAAGGTACAATTCTCGGGAACCGGTCCAAGGGGATTCTGCAACAGCTCTTCTCAGTCCTGAAGGTGAATCATAGGCGACGTTCGAAACCGATGGTTAAGATGTCGGATGTGGTTCCGTGGAAACTTTAAGCAGGGCAGGGTCGTGCGGTTTGCAAAAGTGAAGTTGGCGATTATTTATTTCTTGCCCTCAATAAAATAATTTGTTGCAGCAGTTTATCTTGTATAAAAAAATACTTTGCGGTTGTGTCAAATTTTGAAGAACATAAAAAAACTAGAAAGACTTCCAATGAAGAGCACCCAAATTAATACAATAATACTCATATTTCAACTACTCATAGCACCCAACATAATTTATAAATGGATATAGACAACTTTTATTACAAGATATATTTCACCATAGAAGAACAAAGCGGCTTACTCACTTGCTCACACACGTCTAATTATATTGCAAAAAATAAATCGCTTAAATATTAGTAATTAATATTGCTATGGTAGCAATGTTCAGTAGTTAACTTTTTTACACAAAAGCAAGCGAAGTGACCCTAGGGTTATGTGTTTGGATTATTTGCTAAAAGCTGTGTAACGGATTTTTAAGCGAACGGCTGGATTTATTTTTAAGTTTGATTAAATTATTCGATAAGGAGTGTTTTAAAAGAATTTCGGCCCAAAATTCTGACAAATTCCAATGTAAAGTGTGTTTAATCAATTCGGTAAAAAATATTAAACGGATTTTCAATTTTGAGGTCAGTATTTACTCAGTGAGATCCTCAGAATATTTTGAAACAATTGGAGCATAAACTTTTGAAAAAATTATTACATCTTAAGTATCTCTATTTTTAATTGATTTGAAATGATATCGTTACTGTTAACGCAAAAGATCGTTTGTAAAAATTCACTTTTTTTTGCAAAAGAACATAAAAACCGATTATTTCTTCATGAATTATTAGTATAATTTCATATTTTATTTTCCTCTGCCTTTTACCTGTTTAGCAGACTAGTTATAGCAGTTGCTGCCAACAAAATGTCACCTTTTGGATAAAGAGAATAAACATGTAAAATTGTTATATACGACTTTTTGGACTAACAGTAGAGATATGTGATTTTTATATAGATTATACATCATTTTTGTTCCCTGAAGACGTATCGAGTTTTTTGCGAAGTCTTTTTTTATTTTAATATTTTTTTTTTTTAATATCAAATTCCATTTTCATGAATATATATTGAAAATTGATATAAATCTTGTTTACATTTATATTACATTTTATTATTTAATGGTAACATGCTAATATTAAATTACCTGTAGGTCTCCGATTGCTTTTTTGAGTTGGTCGTCAGTTCTTAGGTTGCCCGTCTCTCTGTCGGATTCAGGTAGGTAACCAAATTGGGTCAAGTATTCTATCTATAAAATAAACAAAAACACATTTGATAAGTAACAGTGAAATGTGTGTATTATATATTTAAATTTTATTGAATGTTATCCATGCATTAAAGATTAACAAAAGAAATAAGTTTATTTATAAATGAATAAATTTCCCTGCCATTTACGTAGAAGAGACTTACTAAGAAAGTAATTATGCTCAGTATTATTTATTTGTTTTAATTTTATTATCTCTACCCACCGTAGGTTCATTGGCAACACCATTTTAATAAATTCAGTTGTAAAATTTTATCGATTTCATATACAATTTTCTGACTTTTTCTTTAGTTTAATTTCTAAGTCTTCTTTTAACGTTAGAGGAATACCCAATATTTCTCTTGCAGTTTTGAAGTTGGAGCATTCTTGAATTATGTGTTGACTGTTCGTTGAACTTGGCAATTATTAGAGTCAAGTCCTCTAAAAAAATATGCATGATAAAATCTGCTGCGCCAAATCCTTGACTGACGGAGAAAAGTTTCTTCCTTCCTAGATATTCTAATGACCCAGCCTTAGGGTGGGACACCCGGGGCGATTGCCGACCGATCTTTAGGGGCTCTTGCCACTTATTAGATATATAAAAAAAATACAAATTACATGTTAAAATAATTAATTTTATCCTATCAATAAAACTACTGTATTAAACAAATGTTGAATGAAAAAAATTCATACATAGTATACTATACATTCATAGAGTATAGTATATGTATATAATAGTATAGTATATAGTTCATTCATAGAGTATAGTATATGAAACACAAAATATTACATAGTATAAAACATCTTAAAAAATAAATTAAATTTTTTTATCCCTGTTGAGCGAATCCAATACCTAGGACTCCACCTGGACAAACGACTAACTTCGAATCCTCATACTAGACTGAAACGACAAGAAACCGCTCGACGTTTCCGATTACTTCAGCACTTACTAGACAAACGCTCTAAACTTCCAATTAATTACAAAAGACTCATATACATGACTATAATAAGGCCTATTTGGACTTACGGAGTTGAGCTATGGGGATCCACTAAACCATCGAATTCCTCTCGTATCCAATCCTTACAATCCAAATCCTTCGTAAAATCCTCAATGCACCTTACTTTGTTACAAATAAAACCATCCATAATGACCTTAATATTTCAGATCTGGTCCAATCCAGATACCTATCCTTCCATAATAAACTTCAGAATCATCCAACCTCTCGTTTCTAACCTTGCTTCCTCTTCAATTCCTGATAACCCTCCGAGGCGTCTGAAAAGAAGATGGCCCCGTGATCTCCTAATGTAGACATATCATTAGATGCTACATTGGGTAGTTACTCAGCAAGTGTCTTCATGATATTATATCCGTATGTTCAAATTTACTAGATGTATTTATTTAATACAGTTGTAAATATCATTAAGAAATAATTAAAAAAAATTTTTTTTTGAGGTGGGGAATATGATGTCATTGTCCGGGACACTGAATGTCTAAGGCCGGCGCTGCTATTCTTGTTCCCTTTTTTTTGCCACATTTTCCAAATTTCTAACTTTCTTTTTATATTGGTATTTTTTATATAGTCTTTCAATGGGCTTTTATTGATTGCTGCTTTTGGCTTCTTTCTCAAATGAGCCGCTGATTCATTACTGTAAATTGTTCTATACGAAGGGAGCCAAATGGAAACTACTTGCTTTACATTTTATTGTGATCGTCATCAGATATTTCTTATTTTTCTTCCAAAAGTATTTCAGGTCTGATGCCAATGGCATTATTACACCATAATGGTCGGTTGTTACGGTCCAATTGACTTGATGGTCTATTGATATCTTATGCATATTACTACATTAATATTATCATGTATTAATTGGATTAATAACCTATTGATAGTTGATGATGATGAGTTAATAATGCAAATAAAGTGAGATATATATAGTCATCGAGTTAAGGATGAAGTTATTAACGGATTATTACCCGAAGGGCTGACTTCCCCTTTCGGTTGCTCAGTAAATATTTGACGAAAGGGCCAAGAAGGAGCAACACCCCGGGCGGTGACCTGAGCTGCCTCGTTAGGAAGGAACAGGTCGCCCAATTTGGAAGTACGAGCTTCAGGCTACTGTTTACAATGGTCATTGTCTGTGTTTCAATGCACAGGATTTATCTTTGGTTATCCTTAGGTATGGCTTGGGTATATAAACAATATCGATCAGTATCTACGCTTTTGTTAAAAATATGGAAGTCTCCCCACAATTATCCTCTTCCCGAATCTAGGTGTAAATTAACTATTCATCAATCCATACCGTCTTTACAAAAATACTTAATTTGTACGATTATGTCAATGTTTATTAGTAATTCATTGCAGAACTTTTTTTTTCGCTTACTTTTCTGGCATACGGAGGAGGGAGAGTTCTTCTAGATTTACAACTAAACCTCTTCTAACCTGAATAGGATGGTAAAAAAATAGATTAAAATAAAGAAAGTAACGAAATAAATTTTAACTCGCATATTAAACCGCCACCGCAAGACTCGAGAATACTGAAACCAGCTACGACTCAACAAGATCGGCTATCATGGTTTGTCTTCAGACCAAACTTATCCAATTAATTTAAAAAAAAAAATTAAAAAAAAAGGATTTTCTCTCTTTACTTTACGAAAAACGCTTTCTTTCTTTGACTATACCAATGATGAAAATGGCACATCATTGGCTAAATCTATGCGATGGATATAAACACCTACTACCTTTAATCTGATTTTGATGAAATTTTCAGAGATTTTGCTTAGGTGATCTCATATCAATTTTGACAGATGCCATACACTACTTTCACGTACTAGTTTGCAAACGTAGAATCCTTGACACGCTTGTAATTTCAAAACCTCTAATCCAATTCGGCTCAAAGCTTGAGGAAAGTTTGGGACGAATGTACAAATTGTGTAGTTACAACTTCATTTAAGTCCATTTTGTACTTTCCTTTACGAATATACAGATATATTTACCAGGATACGCTTATATTTCTAAAAAGATTTTAGAAAACTGGATTTTATTCTCAAACGATAGAATCATTGACCTTGAAATATGTGTAGTTTTGTATCCAACATCAAAGAAGAATCTGCACAAATCCTTCCTAGCAGGCTTTAACATAAACTTAAATGAAAGTCTCCGATAACTTTGTGGCTTTTCAGCCACAGATGTCCATTAAGTTTTAAGCAAGTAAACCACTATTTAATAAAGTTTTGATACATATTGTGACAACAATAAATTACGTTAAAGTCGTCACCCATTTAGTCAGTCACGAGGTTATCATGCGAGACCATTGATATATGATTGCTAATAATGTATTTTCTTTGCGCATCTTATATTATAGGTTTTCCTTTTTACTACCTTAGAAAAACACTAATTTTTGCATGAACCTACAATCATCCCCTCCTCTCTCCTACCTCTCCCGTATAAATGATTTAATTTATAAGACTAACATTTGTGCATAAAATGGAACTGAAGTTCATAATAGGGAAAAGGGATTAATAATCCAGTCGATAAAAACGGGAGAAAATATTATTTTGACTGTGGACATTCTTACGGACTATCGAAGTGCAATGCTTTTATTCTTTGTGTAGTCTCAGAGATAATATTTTCCGTTTCAGACTCACTTTTGAGAAATATTAACTGATTCATTGGTTTTCCCTATTAATACAAAACAGCGACGGCATTCTTTTTGACGTTATAACTGCACTACAATAACAACAATTTTGATGATATCGTGACCGTAGTGCTGTTCCTAGAAGTAGATAATGGAACAACTTCCTCGTTAAAGACTTACTCATAGTAAACGGAGAGAAAAATTCCACTTTACCAAGTCAATCACCAATAAAATTTAATATTTTTAAGTCTTAGAGTAAGCGCAGACATCGTTCTCCGACAGATGATGCCATCAACAACTGCAGAGAGCATGTTGATGGTAACTCTGGACAGAAGGAAATAAAGATGACTCATTCCGTCCGGTTGAGCCCACCACATCCTGTGTACGCTGTCCATCCCAAACAGCCCCGTCCACCTATCCTGGCGCATAACTGTCTGCCATAGCCATTAGGATCCATTATCGGCGTGAGATGTTGCAGTCCAGGATCAATGGCGTTTGTTTTTAGAACCAAAATACAGTAAAATCGCGCAGATCCGGCCTTGGTGGGCTGTCCATACTAATGATTGCTGTTGAAAGGACACTAGTTTCAAATGAATTGACGTTTTCGAAATGTGAGCCGGTTCAGGAATATTGAGCGCTCCAGGGATTATGAGATAGTCGTACTACGCAGAGCAATCCATTATTGGAAATCGAATTAGCGGCGGTTCTACTGCCTTGTGTGACTGACCACAAAAATCATAAACTATAGAATTCATATGTTCGTTTCAACAGTTTCTGAACTGTGCAATGAATATTTCTCTTCACTTAAGTTTATAATAAATGAGAATTTTTATAAATTTGAGATATGATTAATTGAATTATGAATGTATGGTGTTAATGGGAGTTTCCAAAAAAAAGTTTTAAGTCTCTCAAATACCTTTAAATGAGTAATTAGTCCTCACATATAGAATCTAAAAATTATCTAACCTATTAAAAAAAGTTACATTAATCCAAGACAATCAGGATATACTTTATAATTTAAATTGTAAACTAAGTTTCATGGATTTGGGTGTATGTTGAATCGTTCTGGAGGGACATTCTGTTTGGTTAGACTTTTTCTCGATCATTGATGTATACATTTTGCTTAAAGTGTACATATTTATGTATGTATATTAGTAAAGTATCGCAGACCACTATCCTCCCCTCTCCCTCATTAAATTCTAGAAGATTTATTTAAATAATCAAAATCAAATTTCGTCCATCATTTTGGCAACTTGGAATTAGTTTCAGGCGTACTTTGGGAGTATTCAGTATCAGTGACTGACTCAGGAATCCTCAATAGAATGGAGGATTTTTTAAAAATGTTTATAATGCTTATCCCTTTTACCATATTTATTATTGCTATTCTTATAATAAGTGTTCTTGAAATAAAGTAAGTTTATTTCAAAGTGATTTTAATCTTTATTTGCGTTGATAATTTTCTAAAAATATGTTTTCCTTCCGAGATATATACAATCGCATACAAATAAACTTTAGTTATTGAGTCCAAGAACCGAAAATATAGAAATATAAAGAGTTTCTAATTGCTTAGTGTGTATAATATTTTTTTAAATTATTTGCAGATGAGTGTTTTATGAGCTGGATCTTATGAAACGGTTCCTGGACTTGTGATAAGCGCCCCTGGAAAGCGTTGGATAAAAATGTGTTCAACATGGTTTCGTTTTAATATTCTATTTCCTATCAGAATACGTAAAATAGGTACAATAAAAAAATAAAATAGAACCACCATTCCTTGTGAGAATGTCCAATGGTAGTTGCTTAAAGAATGCTCCGGTAAGTTACAAATCGGCAGTATGTTTAATACTAACTGTTGGTTACTCAATTGGTGTTCCCAAATTTCATTGTGATGTTCTCAACATTATAGAATTTAAAGAAAGCTGTGTCGTAGAGGTATCTGTGACATTCGGTTTACTCATATACACTTAAAGGGTGTCGATGAAAAATTGCAAATTGATCACATGAAAACTAAAAACATATCTGGCATATAGAGAAGTATTTTTTTTTAATAATTGTACAAAGAAAATATTTATCAAAAAGAAATTCGATTAATTAATTTTTACATGTAACTTGTCTTATTATATTGCCGATATCTAGATAAAACAACAGTTTTATCAAATTTTATCCTTTCCTTTTCTTGGGACGAATAAAGTTTTTTCGAAGACATTTATTTTTTATTTTTCTTTCTTTTTTAGGTGAGACTACTATGTCATGAAGATGGATGAAGCATGTGGGGTTGGCAAATAGATAGTCTTTCACTGCTTCTTTCTCGAGGCTTTGGCTTGTGAGTTCCATTAGTTATAATAATAAAAAAAAAGTATATATCTTTGGATATCACATAACATATTTTAACAACAAAATAACCTAATCGATCAATAGGTTTTTATTGTATACATTATAAAAAAAAAGCGCCAGATCTCTGTTACTGAGCTACTATTTTCCTCTTATTTAAAAAAGAAAAAATGCAAATGTAAAAAATTATTACATAGAGGTTCATTATTTTTAAAAAGTTATAAATCGAGTAAACATAGCTTACTTATTCCCACACGATTTTCCTAGCCACATAAGAGAAATATTTTTTTCGCTAAGATTAGATTGATTAAAAAATTGATTTAATATATATATATTAATGTTATGTAGATTATTACAATAACTGTCAAACGAGCATTAGGAATCTACCGGTAGATTTATAGTTTTGAGCAATCAGCAAAAACAGATAAAGGAATCTCCAAATAACCGATTTTTTTTTGTTTAGTAGTTTTTCTGTACTTTTTTTTTCTAAAGCTAACTTTTTCATTCGCTAACTTAGCTATTTGCCAAATAAAATTTTGTAACTATCAAACTTTTTCGAGAGTATATGTATGTAATAGTAGTCTTTTAATTCCGAAATGAACCCTATTTATTATTATTAATGTTTTTTTAAAAGCGAAACCTATATTTTCTATTCCTTTTGTAATATAAAAACCAATATATTTTTAAAAATAAATTCAAAATTATTTATTTTTAGAAGACAGTTCCGAAAATTTCTAATTATACTGCTATTCATTTAAAAAACACCGAAACTTGAATAGGGTCTCTTTTGGAAAGAATTAAACTTATAGGGACGATTTTGAATTAAAAAGGTTTATTTTAGAGAGAAAATATGATTTATCATTAGAGGAGATAAAAATATAAAAATTGCTTCACAAAAAATTAAATTTTTTTATAATAATGTTACAATAATATAAATTTATTTTTTATTTTTATTTGAATAAAACGGTTAAAAAAGTTCTTGATCAATATTTTTTATATAATGTAAGTTTCATCACACCCCTTCCAAATACAAAAAAAAAAAAATATTTTCGAAATCAGCTTTTTCATTTTTTTTATGTTGCAAGGAGTGTAATGAAAATATGAACCATAATCGATTTTTATGAAAATTGAGATAAATATAGATTGTAAACAAACCCAATAAATCCGATA